AAATTGTCCCTGGTCCTATGCAAGGCTATATTCACATCCAGGACTTTGGGTCACTTGCAACTTTTGATCCGTGGTCTGCATTGCGATTTAGATTTTATGCTAGTTAAATCTTGTTGAGGAGAGGACAATGACTATGGCAACAAGCAGGGGAAACAAAGGGAACACAGCAATAAATCACCAAAGATTTATTTTTTCATATTTCAGATCATCGTATGTTGCTAATTTATCATTAAATGTTTATTTGCCAAAATATGACTGTTACAGAATCCTTTCCTAGCATTCAGTCGCCATATCAGATATAAGCTTAAGCAATTCTGCTTGATTCCTTAAGTGTCACTTGCATATTTAAAACCAAATCTCAGTCCAGCAATAATAAAAATAATAACAGCAATTATCTGGAGAAATCTGAGCAAATGTAAAGTGCTTTTCTCTACAACTTGTCATTTTCTCATTGTTCCATATAAACGGAAAACCCTGTGTATCCTATAGGTATAAACAAGATCAGATACATAATCTTACATTTTGTGATCATTTGCCTGATCTGTGAGAATCCCAAAACTCTTTAATCACTGTCTGTTCCATTTTGTGGTATAACTACACATTCTCAATTGTTAGATGTTTTTTTAGTAGCAATTCTGTGAGCTATTGTCACATCTTCATCCATTGCCATGCATTTCTATTCTATTATCTTGCATTTTACTGCCTTTCTGGCTTATTTTTTTTCTGACAGTGTTCAGGTAATTGGTTGTTTGAAAGCTAGAATGGCACTCTGAAATATCAGGAAGTTGTCACAATTATATACAGATCTCAATATTTGATTCAGTCATTTTATACGGGATATATCTTGCAGTTGTCTAGCTCCGTTAACTACTCACTCACCAGTGATTTAAGTGACATGGAATAACTGGCAATATTAGTAAGTAGGCTAGCCACAAGTCATAATTTCTGCACACTTCATCTCTCTGTCAAAACTGCACATGCTGTTTTGAAACAAAAAGAAGAGGATGTAGAAAACATAATTTCTAGTGAGGTGAAAGGATGAGATTGCATGTCATTTGAAACTCTTATCTCAGGCTCCAGAAAGTCACACTAGATAAAGTTTGTTGGGTGTTGGGGGGAGGCAGGGCATGGTTTGTATGTATTGGGGGGATTTCTCAAGGTCTGCATACCAGAGATGGGCAGAACCAGGACCCATAGTGGACCTCCCTTTACTTTTTGCCAGTCCCTCCATTTTTCTTTCTTCTCCTGGCTCTTTGGTATGGGTCTTCCTTCTTATTTCCAAAGTCAGGTAGAGAAAATACTCCTACATGTCTTTCCTATAAACTCTGATTTATTTTGGGTTTTTTTTTAAATTGCTTTTAAAATATTTTTCAAAAAGGAAGAGAATTTTGGTGAAGTACATGATGGATAGCCTTACCTTTAGTTATGAGGTAACAAAGAGATATGGTTGAATATCCTGTATTTTGCTGTACAATCATCTTTTTAGCATTCCTTGGCTTCACACACTTCATTTAAATCCCAAGGCAAAAGATCACAAGAGAACTCCTCCAATTTAGGATTTTCATTAGCATTATAGTGCTATTATAACCAGGAAAGGAGATCTCTTTTTGAGAAATTATAGTAGTGGATGTCTTCCCTGATAAAACTCAGTAAAATTGCTCAATTTTTATGCTCCCAGATTTGGTGAAAAATTCTGATAAGACATTTGTGCTCAGTCTAAGTTATCTCCTATTTTCTCTCTCTCTCATTCTTATATCATCCATAGTAGGTAAATGACAGTTATTATGGTATTGTAGATCAAATCATTTTATGGGCCAGCATCTACCTGAATCTTTAGGCAACTAACAGGAAGCTAACTGATCATGCAATACATATAATCATGTGATGATAACCAGAGCTTTGTTCCTCAAAGTATTTTCAAAGTGTCCAACCATTTGTTTTGTGTGTGTGTGTGTGTGTGTGTGTTTTAAGTATGGCTCATTAATTAATTTATACTCAATCAAATTATCCACATCTTTATATTTTTTTTCCCAGGATTAAATTTAATAATCTAAAGTTATCTTGTTCCATAGATTTGAGAGAAAGGGGCAAGTATAAAACAGCATGCATATACTCCCCTCTCCATTTATATATTGTGTATGTGTCTATGTGTATATATAGAAACATTTACAGAGTTTACAAATGAAAGTAGCAAGATTAACTGGATTCTACACTGAGCATATGCCGTTCCTGTTTTTTAAACAATAAATTATATATGCCACCCAGAGTCACTTTTTGTGAGATGGGTGGCATATAAGTTTGATATATAAAAATAAACATGAACTGTCCATATCAGTTTGAAAAACAAACTTTATGGAACTGTACAGTTAATATCAGTGATTAGAAAGATTGCATGACATATAGAGCTCATCCCCAACTGGACAAGCCCGTCTATCTTTCTGTGTTAGAAAGATGAACAGATGCCTTATCCTGATCCTAATGGTAGGACCAGCTGGGTTTTTTTATGGTTATTAAAGGGAAGAATATCTGTAGCTAGTGTGGAAGTCAACACACTGGCTATCTGTGAGTGTCAGAGTACCCCTTTTTTGTTTCTGACTTTAATGTTAGGGTCTTAGCCTGAGGTCCTCAAGAGACCAGCTCTTCCTGTAAGACTCAGTCCCAGTTATGGGAAAATGTTTAGATCCCTTTCAGCATTATATGAGACAAATTGTCAACAGCCAAATATCAGACTTTGACTACAGTTGCTCCAAAGCTTTGGAGTGAGCTTTCTGTTGACATGAAAACTCTTCTTCTCTTCCAGCCTTTTGGAAAGGTTGTAAAATCTATTTATTTTGGAAAGCTTTTGGCTTCTGAAGCTACTTGTTGACTGCCCAGGCTTTATTTGGCTTGGAGTTTTGAAAAGCTTTTTCTTGTTCTGCTTCGTTTTTAATACTTGAAGTTGCATGATTCCTTACTGTGTTTTAAATGTCTGTGTACTGCTCAGCTTACATGCAAAGGACTTTGACCATGATAATATAAAAATACTTTGTGTAGCTCAATGAAAGTTTTTCCATGTAACATGTGGATTTTAGAAATACATGTATTTCCTTCCTAGGAGGAAGTTTTCTTTTTTCTTTTAAACAAGAAATGGGTAGAAATTTTCTCTATAACCAAGAGAAACCGTATTTTATAACTCTCTTGCCAAGCCAAATAATTCATGGATTCCTAGCCGTGCATTCAGCTTTCATTATCACCACACTTAGATCATTATGCACAATGAGCTCCTGAAATGTAGAGCCTCTGTTTATTATTGGAGATGGACTTACACTTGTACTTTGTCTCCACTGTTATGTATGTTGGTGAGTTCCTGCACAGGGCATCATTTCATACCTTCCCAGCAATATTAAACTCCAGCAAAGATTAGAGCATGTTCTGAATTTCATGCGCTGTCATTGGTGAGACCCACCAGCAGTTAATTCTTTTTCCTCTTGGAACCCCTAATCTGTAGAAAATTAAATAAAAATTTATATCTGAACTGTAGTTTAGATACAGAAGGTAATTAGTTTTCTTCCTTGTCCATCATTCTGTGTCTGGCCTTCTTCTCTTTCCAAAGGCATTATCATGCACTTGGCTTTTGTTGATGCATTTTGGAAGTCTCAGAAAGAGAAATGAGTCCAGTATGTTTGAAATCTGCTCATTTCATCCTAAAACTCTTCTCATAGAATCATCTGTCCAACATTTAAGACTTGTGAAGAAAAGTATTCCAGTATTTCTGGAAGGTAGACAGTTTTCAAAAATGCTATATTGTTGTGTTCCTGATTTAAATCTCCTTCAGCAAGGGGACTTTGATAATGTCCTGCATGTATATATTGTTGTGTTCCTGATTTAAATCTCCTTCAGCAAGGGGACTTTGATAATGTCCTGCATGTATATATTGTTGTGTTCCTGATTTAAATCTCCTTCAGCAAGGGGACTTTGATAATGTCCTGCATGTATGTCAGAATCTGTATAAAAAAGGATAAATTTATTTTGTCATTGTTAAGTTTTTTAACTTTCCACAGCTATAGGTTTGGACTCCTGCCCTGAACCCCAGACCCCAAATAGTGGAATTAAGATTGGAGACAGGTATATGGTGGGAGATGTGGTTTCCTTCCAGTGTGACCAAGGATATTCTCTCCAGGTAGATTTTTTTCTTTTTCAAACTCCTATGTATTATTCATTCCTAACTAAGATATTATTGTTTTTTTTTAATAAGAATTTTTATAATCTAGCCAGAAAAATAAAACCATTATTTAAAGGGAAAAAACATACAATTTGATAAAGATTGAGTTTCTGCAATGTACTATTTTCATCTTAGAAACTCCTTTGAAATATAGAACCCATGATTTGTGAGGGGTTGCCTACTCATAGAAAGGGCTTTTTTAAGGAACTCCCTCTTGCTGCATCATGAATCTTTGGGAATATCAATAATAATTTAGGAAAAATCAGGGATGAGTACAGTATATGGGTTACAGCTGCAGGGGGAAGAGAAATTACAGTCCCACTAAAATGGTTTTATTTTTATATTTATTGGGTTTGGCATTGCATCTATCTATCTATCTATCTATCTATCTATCTATCTATCTATCTATCTATCTATCTATCTATCTATCTATGCCAAACAATTTCTGTTTGTCACCAAGATAAAGACATCAGTATGTCCAAAGTATTCACTAAGAGTTTGGCTTTATTTGTTGGAACCTTTCCATCATCATTAGTTATAGGTATGTTTGTGTATGTGTGTGTGTGTTTCTAATGGATGAACACTGCATAACTGTTGTTTCCAGATCCCTGAATGAAAATATAATTTGGAATCTAAAGACCTTCCTTCTCTGATTCAAAGAAGAACATCTGATCTGCTGCCCATGTGATAAATAAGAAGACATTACCCATTATATCCACATTATTATGCCAAACTTGCCATATTCCATCAGTTCTGTGCCATAACTGGTCTTTGTCCTTTGCCATTTGGCATACATGTTAAAATGTAGTAAAGTAACATTATCTATGCCATCAGCTCCCTAGCCAGGAGGCCAGGGATTGGCAAGCATATCAGGGAGCCAAGGGAGGGTTTTTTGTGCCAATGACTTGCTAATCTTGCTGTGGCCAAACCAGACCATAAATGGCCATGCTGATGATACCTTGCCAGCCAGTTTGGCTCCCAGGTTTACATCAGAGGATGCAAGCTGTGATACCATTTTACTGTTATGCATAATAAAGTGTAGCATAGAACTGATCGTTAACTCGATAATTTTAAAATGTTTTGTCATTTTATAGGGGCATTCACATATCACCTGTATGCCTGGACCAGTAAGAAGATGGAATTATCCTATTCCAATTTGCTTAGGTATATCTTTCATAGATAAGCTAAAAAAAGGATATGAGAAACTAAACATGTATTGGAGCTTTATTTGTGAGTTTTAAGGTGTCTTGGTGGAGGGATGGATCCATGAGGGAGTTCCATGATGTGAACAGAATGGGGATGACCAGGGCAACAAAGTCCCATCCCTTCTTAAGTGCCCACAATGTATACAACACGTGCCCATTGTTTAAACATTGTTGACCATCCTCTGTGCAACCCCTGGTATTAGATGCTAAGCCAGGGGACACCATTCTGCTGCAGATCTAATGAAGCAGATGGCTACTACTATTTAAATCAGCCATAAAACTCAAAGGAGAATTGAGTAGCTTAAATGGTGACATAAAAATAAAGCAAAAGAAAGAAAGCAGACCTGTGCTAAAGCCAGAACAAGTGTTCATAATGCATTGCATTAAAACGTGCCCAAATAGTTACATTTTTCCCGAAGATAAGTAGGTCAATAATAATGAATATATTATTGAGAAATACAGTACATTCTGTTTAAAAAAATGTGGTCACTCTAGCTTTATATATTATGAAATGCAAAGGGAGTTTATAATGTAATAAAGAGTATGGAGAGCTCTGTTCAGTATTCCAACCACATTTTCCCTCACTTATTCCATTTTCTACACCCTACCCTATCCTCTTTCCCCAAACTCACAACGTGATGTGACTTTGACATTTCTCATTCCTCCTGATTGATTTCAGTATAACTGTTGTTTCTTTAACTATGATTTTATTTCTCCAAATTTTGAGATTGTCAGAAGCACAATGAGGGGATTGTAACCCCATTTGGATAATAGCGATACTAGGTTGTTGCTTGCTGGTTCTGGTGAAAGCTGAATTGCGGCATTACACGACAAGCCCTGCTCCTTTTCTGCATGTGTGATGACTTTGCACACATGTTCAGGAGGGGTGGAACTTGTGGACCAATTTTGATAAAAAGAACAAGAAGCTGTAGATGCTGCTGTTCTCAGTCACCTGAATGAACAGTGTTAATGTGGATAATTGCCTAACAGGGGGGAAAAACATTTAATTTCTGTATTTCTTTAGAGCAGTGTTTTTCAACCTTGGCCATTTTGAGATGCGTGGACTTTAACTCCCAGAATTCCCCAGCCAGCATGGCTGGCTGGGGAATTCTGGGAGTTG